ATTGGATGTTAACTTTGTAAAGTTCTAGGGTACTGTGCATAACGTGCAGGTTTGTTACATATGGTATACTTGTGCCATGTTGGTGTGCTGCACCCATCAACTCGTCGACCCCATCAACTCGTCATTTACATCAGGTATAACTCCCAATGCAATCCCTCCCCCTCCCCCTCCCCATGATAGGCCCGGGTGTGTGTGTTCCCCTTCTAACTCAAGTGCCTCTCCATTGCTCGTTCCCCACCTACGTGAGGAACATGCGGTGTTTGGTTTTCTGTTCTGTCGTGATCAACGTTTGCTAAGATGATGGTTTCCAAGCTGGGCATCCATGTCCCTACAAAGAGGCAACAACCTCATCCTTTATTTATGGCTGCATCGGATATTTCCATGGCTGTTATATGGCGGCCACATTTTCTTAATCCAGTCTGTCACTGATGGACATTTGGGTTACTTTCCTATCATTGCTATTGTGAATTGCTGCCGCAATCAAACATATGTGTGCATGTGGTCTTTATACGCAGCATCGATTTATAATCCTTTGGGTATATAACCCGTAATGGGACGGCTGGGTCAGTATGGGTACTCATCTAGTTCTAGCATCCTTGAGAAATCGCCCATACTGCTTTTCCACAAGTGGTTGAACTAGTTTACAATCCGCACACACAGCTGTAAAGTGTGCCTATTTCTCCACATCCTCATCCGAGGCACCTGTTGTTTTCCCTGACTCTGTTCTAATGATGCGATTCTAACTAGCGGGTGAGATGTAATCACATTGTGGTTTTGGTTTGCATGTTCAATTGTGAATGGAAGTTCATTCCTGATTTGGCTCTCTGTTTGTCTGTTACTGGTGTATAAGAATGCTTGTGATTTTTGCACATTAATTTTGTATAGCTAATGACACGGTAAGGTATTTACAACACTAAGTGAAGAAAATTAGGCTACTAAATATATAATGTGATTATGCACAAGCATAGTGTTTTGGTTTGGATATTTCTTCCCTCCAAATTCATACTAAAATTCAATCCCCAATGTGGCTACACTGACCAGTCGGGCTTTTAAGAGGTGATTGGGTCATGAAGGCTCAGCCATCATGAGTGGATTAATCCATTCATGGATTAATAGATTAATAGGTTATCATGGGAGTGGGACTGGTAGCTTTATAAGAAGAGGACTAGCAACCTGAGCTAGCATGCTACCACACTCAGTGCCCTTACTATATGACTGATACCCTGCACCACCTTGGGACTCTGCACAGAGTCCCCACCAGCAAGAAGGCCCTTACCAGAGGCAGACCCTCAGTGCTGGACTCCTCAGCTTCCATAACTGTAAGAAATAAATTCCTTTTCTGTATAAAGAAATAAATCCCTTTTCTGTATACCCGGTTTCAGGTATTCTGTTACAAACAACAGAAAATGAACTAAGACACATCCACACACACATGCACACACGCACAGAGTCACACACCACCATATACCCTTGATATTTTTCAAGGATATAGCCCAATGTTACAAATACCAACATTCTTGAGTAATATGGTAGCATATAATATTTCTCCAAACTTGTAAGGACTTGAATCAAGGCCTCCCTGAAATGTGGCTTCTGTATGGTCACCTGGGGTCACTGTGCACATTACCTTTACAGCATGCACAACATATATTAGTATCTTAGCAAGATAACAAACTACAGTACTTCGTGGAACCATCATAATCACAAGATCTCATATATGTTAAATCTTCCGTTGCTGCAAGTCTACTCTCTCTGCATAGAAAAAGATTTGCACGATACTAAAAAGTGTTAATAGAGATAATTCTTTGAATAATGCATAATTTTATTTATCTACATTTTCCAAATATTTCTACAGTGGATATAGATTATGTTCATAACATCATAAAAGCATAGAAACCTGACTATTTTAGTTACCTCAAAAATCATCACCAGTGTCTCTATGAGGTCCTCGATTTCTCATCCCCTTACTGGCTCTTATCTGAATCCTGAGATGTATGCTCACCAGGGGGCTTATTTCATGAATTATTGCAAGATACAAATGGAGCTCATACTTCTCATTTTGGCAACATTCTCCAGAAAAAGCTCTATTATACCAGAACCCCTCTTAACTCTCTGAAAGTCCT